GTGTGTGTGTGTGTGTACAGTAGCTAAATAAACGACATTGCTGCACTAGATGCTTCTGGAAACCTTCTGTAGGTGATGCTGGTTGCCATGGTTACTTAAACCAGAAGCACAGACTTGGACTGTCAGTGAGGTTGAAGCTAATATGTTAAGCGTAATGATCCGGGGCCCCCCGTTCGATGAATTATGTTGTCACTGCATCACAACATGAAGTATCATTATTTAGGCTTGGATATTTATAGCCATACACAGAGAAAAATAAAAGAAATATCACAGACTTTTATCAGATTAAAACAGAATAGAAACATCCTCCTCAGCAGAGGAAGCACCAGCCATGTATTGCAGGTGGATTATTGTGTGTTCTTTTGTTCCTCTCAAACAGAGCAACCGGCCTCTCGGTGGCCCTGTTTTTGTGTTAAGTGGCTAAATCAGCACACTTACATCCCTGTTGTGATTCAAACCAGCTCTTCATAAATCAATTACATCTCAGCTGATAAGAGAGGAACCTGAAGCCCTAACGGCCACCCATCAATCCACACAGCTTGTATTCACATCCTTTTCAAAGCCCAAGGACCTGGAACAAAGTGAGGAGGCCCATCAATCCTCATCAGGCCTGGGCTTAAAGATAAGTATTTAGACTCAAAGAGATGCTTCATTGATTTAGTTTTGCTCTCTCTGTTCTCTGCTCTCTCAGGTTCATTTCATTATCACACATACATATTAACATGAGAACAATGAAAACAAATGAAGTGGATTATGGAAATGCCATCCATTGTCCACTTTCTCGCTCATAATGCCTCTTAATTTTTTCAATTTTATATTTATAATAGTAAATCGTGGCTTAAAGTCCAGTTATAAATGTTCACAGAACTGCTTCTATTGCTTACAGTATAATCTACATTATTATAATCTTTTTCTGTTGCTGAGAGACAGCTGGGGAGTTAATAGAAGATTTCCTTTGGGAGAAATTTGTGAAAATAAATTAATATAGAACCATTTTCTTCCCCAGTGCTCAATTGGAAAATAATCTTATTTTATTTTTTGCTCCCATTTTGCCATATTAAACACTGTCCACAAAAAGTATTTGTCCATTTTCTTATCTGATGAAATCAGAAATACCTCCTCAGTGTCTGTGGTGATGCTGAGAATATGCAGATGGTACAAAAAACATTTTAAAGATGCACATGGCGTCATGCAGAGAAGAGAGGACCTTGTGCCTGGAGGCGCATTTCTCTACTAAATAAAATCCATCTGCCAATACTGCAGGGAAACAAAATGCAAATCTGGCAAAATCCTGGTGGAAGGCTTAAAAAAATTAAGCTCCAGTGTAAAAGCCAAACTTTTTAGAATAGAAAGGGGGTCTTTAACACAGAAACAGCAGCTGTGCTTTGACAAGGATAGGGGGAAATTACAGACAGGGACGATACAGGAGAGCAAGATGAGGAAGCAGCTTGATACAGAGAGAGGATTTGTGTGTACAAACGTGTTGTCAGAGCAGTCAATGAAAAGAGGACAAGGACCTGAAGACACAAAGATATGGGCAGTTGTGAATTTAACTGAAAGGGCTTGAATCAAGATAATGATCTGCTGACTTCTTTGTGATGATTTTAGGACACATTTCAGAACTTGAACCTGTAGTTTAGGACAATATCAGTGACTTTATCGTTGTTATCATCAAATTAGTTTATGTATTGATGAAGGATACTGATACAGACATATTTTAGATACATTTAGACACATTCATACTCAACATTAACTTAAAATAAAATATTAAATCTATTGAATTGAATTGATATGAGAGTGGTTGCCGCCTGAACTTCATTAAATATAACTCAAAAAGGAGCACAGACTGAAGATAGCGGGGTTAAGCAGGCTTTGATGCGACGATACAGTACATAACAATGTCCTTATGTACCGGAAGTAAAGCAAATACGATGTCAAAAAGAGGCAAAAAAATGTGGCACAGTCATTCTCAAACTATAAACGTGTAAGAAAACATGTTTAAAATAGAAACTGGATCAGTGTACTGCCCTAAAACATTGCTCTACAAAAATATGTAATTAAAAAAGTTCCAAAACAGATAAAACATAAAAAATGAGCTTTCAGTCTCAATTTTGTATTTGCTAATTCCTCCTTAAAATAAGGTTAGATCTCATTATTTTCTTAAACTTTCTGTTTCTGTTCAATTCATTTAACTTAAAAGACGCCTGTTTCCTTTCATCTGTTTGCTTTGTCAGCAAATATTTCCTCAGTAGTTCAACCGTTTATGTGATTGCTTCAGAGGAGATGAAATTGCATCCTATTGATTCACATTTCCCCATTTATACTCAAAGGAAACATAACACAACTTGCAATCTCATCAGATATAAGTTACAAATTAAATAAAAAATCATGGTAAACCACTGGAAGATCTTTTTCTCAGAAGTCAGTTATAATACATAATACATTCACAAAGAACGGACAGTTAAGTTTAATACATTGTTATTTTGGGAAGTTGCAGGTTTTTTACAGCTTGTGATGCTACAGTGACTGTGAACACAGTTGATTGCCTCTGATTGGACATCACAGATGTCTCCTAGCAACCGATTTATACATTACTGAAGACTTTACGAGTTGGTTTAGGTTTAATGAATCAGTTTGAAACTAGCTAGTTTTAAGAACTTAAGAAGGACTTTACACACAAACCTAGCAATTCAATTAAAATTGAGCTCAGTTTTATTTGTATGGTGCCAAATCATAACACAAGTTATTTCAGGACACTTATCAAATTGAGCAAGTCTAGACGGTACTCCATGCCATGAATTTACAAATAGCTGCTGCAACACCATCCTGGTGTGCAGAATTCCCCCCGATGACCCTCGACTCCACCAGGCTCCTACGGGGGAAAACTACAGGAGGCAGGAAGCTCATATGATGGGGAGGTAGAGTTGTAAACTATTCATTAATTTCCTGCTAAAGTCCCTGAAACACAGCCATACTGGGTTTACATAATCATTATAATCTCTGTGTATATTAAAAAATCTTTCTTTCTGTATTGAACTCACTGAGAATAAGGCAATAGGGAATCCATTTTATAAAGCAGAGGCACTAAATAGCAACAGCAAATACTGGATGCCTGCAGAGCCCCTTTGGTTTCCACAGTAACTAAAACCAAAAATAGAAACCCACACCAGCGGCCATTCAACATTGAATCCCCTGTGATAATACACAATTCTATTTATACCTTCGAATAGTGAAATACTCTCCTGTATAAACGCATCTGTGCAATTACTAAAAAGATGGACATCATGGTCCAATTATATGTTCATACCTTTGACTCCTTTGTGCTTCTTGCCCTTACAGTATTAAGTCCAAATGATGATACAGTGATACTGAAGATATTACACACATGTAAGACACTTCTAATGAGAAATGGAGAGATTGGACTGTGAGTTTGTGTGTGATTGTTTCTAAAGGCGGTATAGAAAATGCTGCCTTATAAGTTAATGATATAAGGTCAGATCCGCTTTGAGGATATACAAACATTCAAGACATTCATATATTTTTCCAACCCTGCCGCTCTTGAACACCAATCTTAAATATAGCTGTGGATTCATCGACATGGCCAATGTACAGGAAAATTTATCAGCAACTGTTTTAATAATCGGTTCATTCTTGAAGTAATTTTTAATGCAAAAAAAACAAAATATTATTATTATTATTTTTTATTTTTTTTTACATTATTTGTCATCATTGCATTTCTCATAGCTTTTTTTTGGTTACACAACAGTCCAGTGAAAACTAAGAGTTTTCCTGTATCTAAGATAAGCTGCCTGACTCATATCAGCTGGTTTGCAGTTTTTATCTCCATCAACCAAAACAGCAAGTGTGCTGCCTTAAAACTCCGTCGGAAAATCGAAATACTTATCAGAAAGCACATTAACAACCTCATTAAGTGCCGCAATGGAATGAAATATAGACATTAATAATTGTCAGAAGAGTGCGTTAATGCCAAAAAAAAAGGAATTAATGGCTTGCTGAAGTCAACTCTTAATGAACTCCGCCAGCTTTCCTCTTTATCTTAAACTGTAGCAACACCCAGCAACTCAACACCACTGGTGTATGACTATTTCTTTTACTCTTAAACGTGTATCCCTTCAAAAGGCTGTGCTCCTTAAAAAGTCTAACTCCATTCCCGATCAAAGTGCGATCGTGTGTCAACTTACGCGAAGTCAGACATTTACCACCGAGAAGGGAGCACCTGAAGGCAGCGTCAGTGCTGCAGCCGACAACGGTGCCCGCTGTCTGACGATGGTAGACCGGAGAGACGGATGGTCAGGGCCGTCCTCGTCTAACCTGAACATGCTAGTGTGACTTCATTCGTGCCCGCTTAATAGTGCTAAAACCAGGTTTCACACATTTAGCTTCAGCAAGTCATATACGGCTTAGTTTGTGTTATTTTTAATATATATAATAATGGAGGACGACTGTGTTTGCGAGTACGACTCGACCTGGGACACAGAGAGTGACGGAGACGACCCGGCCGGAGAGAGCCAAACCCGTCGGTCATGTCAAGACAAAAACAAATCCGGCTGGACTTTAGTAACTGTACGCTTTTATTGTCACTTCGCCACACCGTGACTTGCCTAAATCGTGTCACGGTGTGGGATTATGTTGGTTTGTAATACACTGCCTTTTGCACCCGGCCAGACGCTTGCTATTACTGCCATGACTGGAAAGCTAATGATAGCTTTATGCCTCTCTGCTGCAGGCTTGCTAACTAGCCTAGCTAGCCACTGATGTTAGCTCACTGTGGATGGGTTATAAGTCACTGGCGTTACGTTTTCTGTGTCTATGTTGGTCTGCTTACAGCTGTTGGTATGCATAGTTAAAATGCAGTAATAAATCAATGAAGCAAACCTTTTTTTTTTTTTTTGCGTAAGTTGGAAATTGATTCGCTTGGCCTCACGTTATGTCAATTTGTATGAGGTTGTGGTCATTTTTAAACATTACATATGGATGCAGCAGCTCTGTTATTCACCTCACAGAGACGTTTTAATGCAGAGGTAATATAACTTTTCACTTGTATTTGCAGTGGCATCATACGCCCAGAAACCTGAGGGCAGCAAAGGACATGCAGAACTACAGAAGAGGATATCCAGTAAGTAACAAGCTGAGTAAAACAACAGAAAATATACATGTTATATCACAGGCGAGAGGGGTCAAGTTATGCTTCATTTGTGTCTTGGCAGAATCTCACAGACGACGAGTGCTCGGAAGACAAAATGAACAATTTGCAGTTTTATCTCAATAAATTTCCTTCCTCTCCTGATGGTAATGTATATATTTAGATGTTCTTCCTACAAGATATTTTCAGTGTTTTGGGAAAAGTCTTGTCTGTACTGACATGATGCTTTCTGTGTCATCTGGCACAGACGTCTACATTGAATCATTTCTTAAGGAATGGAAAAATGACTACAAAAGACTGGAGAGAGTTCACTCGTACATTCAGTGGTATGTATAGTCTGCGGCTTGTGGTTTATGTTTTGGCTGTGTCATTCTGACTAAACAAAGCTTATGTCATCTTATTCTAGTGACCTTGCTTTTGGATGCATGTTGCAAGGTGTGCTTCTCTTGATTAGGAAAAAAAGTAATGCCACTATCTGCTCCACTGTTGCCTGTTTTAGACGCTTACTACCTGCTTTTAAAGTACCTTTCGTGATAGAAAATGTCGTTAAGAATAGCAGACATCCGTTGTTTAAGTACCACGCTCACGCTCTTTGTTCCAAATTAAAAGATCTGGGTAAAAAATTACCATTTTCATGCATCATTTATACAGATTTGACAAAAGATTAATAATCTAGTTCACAGTGAGAGCCAGAAGAAATATCATCATGTTGCGAGTATGGAGCTTTGTTTGCTGATTCAAGACTGTAGGACGTGTTTTGTAAAATCACAGGGCTTCAGAGTTGAACGTGGTGATTTTCAGCGATGACGCACCAAGAGTATATTTTATGTTGGCGTTATGAACAGTTGCAGGCGCAGCTGACATCACCTTCATTGAATTAGAGTGTAGTTTCATTAGATGCTAATTGGTTTTGTGTTGTCTCTCTCTTCTTGAATCCTCTGCCTCGTAAGGCTGTTTCCACTGCGAGAGCCGGGGGTTAATTACATGGCTTCAGAACTCACCAAGAAGGAAATTGAGGTAAGTGTATCAAAGGAAACAAGTCTATAAATTAACACTCTACCAAACAGTGTCACAGCTGTCAAAGATGGCTTGCAATTTCTGGCACAACTTAAAGAAATTAATTTGACCATAAGAGTGCAAAGCCTGAATCGAACGTCATCCAGTGAGTTGAATGTGTATTTCAGATGTTTTGGCTATGCATCATATTAGAAAGGTTCCAACAACCACATTGCGTCACCCCAAAAGTTGGAACAGCTGCCATAGTTTCTCTAAAATCATATCAATTGCCTGACTAAATTCTTTCCAAAACAAGCTATAGAAGGTAAAAAGCAAGGTGTCCTGATGGTCTGGTGGTTTAAGACACGTGTTGCGTGTCATCCCTCCTCTCCGTCCTCTCATTCCCGTCACTTTTCTACTGTGCATTATCAAATTGAAGGTACAGTTCTCCAAAAACGACTTAAACGGAGGTTGAAAGTTGCATATCTGGAGAAATGATTAATTTGAAATATTGCTTTGTATTATGTAAATTTTCCAACACCATTAGCACTAGTCTCAATAAAAATATCTTCCACATTCAAAATGCATCATCCTCAGACAGTGTTGGAAAGTAATTGTGAAGAGTAATGTCACAAAAAATGAGTCAAAGCAGAATATTTCTTAATTATCTGACCTACTGTTCAACACTTCTTCGGCAGAGAAAATACTTTCATGTTTTTGGAACTTGCGAAATATTCAGTTCTTTTATGAACATCACAGATTGTCGCACCTACTTTTTCTTTCTTTCTTTTTTCCTTTTCTTACCCATAAGTGTACAAACGGCTGGCCAGCTAGAAATGCAAACCTATTAGATACCCTTAACATATTGAATATCATGTGTCTATTTGCATTTTTGACCCACATTACAGTTGTAGAAATGTCCTACATTTAGTTTTTTATATTTTTGTCTTCACTGTTTATGCTCGTCAGGCCTTCAAGAAGAATGAGGACGCCAAAAAGAGACTAGTCGAGTCCTATGAACTCATGTTGGGCTTCTATGGCATCCGTTTGGTCAACAAAGAGACGGGTGAAGTGAAACGTGCAGAAAATTGGAAGGAGCGATTTGGAAATCTAGAGCGGTGAATATATTTAAATATTCTCATGTAAGCAACATTGGAGATATGTACTTCTGTTTGTGATTTCAGCTTCAACTGTCTCATTTCTCGCAGGAATATGCACAACAACCTGCGCATCACTCGCATCCTGAAGAGCCTCGGAGAGCTGGGCTTTGAGCACTACCAGGCCCCACTCGTGCGCTTCTTTCTTGAAGAGACTCTAGTCAAGAAGACCCTTAGCAGTGTTAAACGCAGCGTGCTTGACTACTTCCTGTTTTCTGTCCTGGACAAAGAGAAACGTCAGGAGCTTGTGCGCTTTGCCTACCTTCACTTTGAGCCAAAGGATAAGTTTGTGTGGTGTCCCCGAAAGATTCAGAAACAATTCAGGAAGGCAGAGAAGAGATCTGATGCTGTTGGGAATGGAGATGGAAAAGATGAAGGGTATTCACGGGGTAAAAGCAAAGACGGAGAAGCAGTTGTGCAACAAAAAGAGGATGGACTGGATAAAGTTACTAAGGCTCAGAAAGGAACCGATAAGACAGCAAGTAAAGACAAAAACAAACTGTCTGAGGCATCCCCTGAGCCAAAATCTGAAGCTGAGACTGTTGGCAATGGAAATGCAGAGGCTGAGTCCAATAATGAAATTTTGGGGAATGGAAATGACTCTACAGATGATGTTGATGAAATGGATCAGACACCCAGTCCCGACACTGTGAAGGCAAAAACCGAGCCCTGTGCAGACAGTGAACACAAATCTACCAACGACTCGAAGGACACCATCCAAGAACCAGACAACATTATGCAAACAGATGGGGACATAGACACTGAAAAACCACCGAAGAAGAAGAGAGAAGATAACAAGGTGCTGCCAAGCAACGGCTCTGTTGGGGACTTTGCCAGTGGGCAGATGGAGGAAAAACCTGCAGCTAATAAAGCCACTGGTCAAACGAGCCCTTCAGCGCAAACCCCCCATAAGACTTCAAAACATTCTCCTTCTCTTTCTTCGGGAAGGGAGGAAAAAATCCCAAGGACTGATTTTAATCAAGTGCCAGATAAAAAGGAAGAGGAGGAAACGTTGCAGGCGAATGTGTCGGCGACAAACGGGTCACTGACGAGCACTGACAAAGGTGTGGATGAACAGACAAATGGGAAGGAGTCGAAGGATATTGATATGGAATCAAACCCTTCAAGCTCAGACCAAAATGTGGGGAATTCATGAATAAACTGGATGACTGGAGAAAATACATTAATTTGGGCTTGAATGAAATGTAACATAGGGACAGAGTATGACTTAAAAAGACGTTCTGGGCCTTATTTCTACTATATTTGATGTTTAGATATTGATTCTTTTCACTTTGAAGGAGTATATGAAGTCATTAACTTACTAAATGTGGGACTGGATGTGACAGTTTCTACATGGCCATCAGACAATATTAAAAGGATAAGGCTGGTGATATTCTACATTGTTGTTAATGACAACAAATCCCATGAAAAGGTCAAAATAGGAGACTCAGTGAGCTGCTGCGACCTGCGAGGCGAGGGTCACATGACCGACAGACACAACCAAAAGTCTCAATAGGCTCATTTTTGCTATCCTTGCTAGCTTGTCTATTTGTGATGGAGAAACTCAACTATCCTTGGAAATGTAGTACATTTAGTGAACCTATGGTGACGTCACTCGTTGGTATCTTCTTATCGTTTTGAAGCCTTGAGTTTGTGATTATGGCCTAGTGACGACCAACCTTTTTTTTGGAGCCAGCAGTGGTAATGTACTGCGAGTTGAGGCTGTGTGTATTGACTGCAGTATCGACTGAAGTAGGCAAATTGATCAGCACGGCCTTGTTTTACAGTTTTGTGCGGTGCGCTGAAGCATACCCTGTTTTATCTTCTGTTTTACTCTAAATGGAACCATCATTTCCAAAATGAACATCCATCCATGCTGTATGGAAGAAGAAACTAGCAGTTGAGACCTTAAACTCATTAGGAAACTGTTTACTGAGCTAATAAATCAAGTGAGAAGTCGGGTCATTTCTCCATAAACTGCATACTATTGGGCTTCTTTTTTGTAGCCCATGGAGCTGCCCCATGCTGGCCATTAGAGAGAATGCGCATTTAAGACACTTGCGTATTGGCTCTGTTTACTAATTATATACTGTTAATAAGGAAAAACACTGTGAAGATTGTTAATGGTGTTAATGTTTATTTATTTACAACATAACTTCTAGTTAATCTGGTTTTGAAAACCATATTTAAGGACCCTTTCCATAAAAGTTACATTCCAAATTCTTTATCAGGGTTGTTTTATCACAGTTTTTTTTTCCGATTCTTTAATGTGTGCGTCTGTTGCCCAGCGAAATACTTGCACCAGCTCTGTTCAGAATATCTGGTGACATATCCCGTAATGAAAAGTGCACAGCTCTCTGCAAAGTCATTTTTCATTTCTACTGAAATGTGTCCATTATAACATTTCTAACCTTAATTAGCTGAATCGTTTATTTAGTAGCTAACCCTGTGGGGTCACATGGCCTTCGCCTTACAGGTCGTAGCCGTCCATCGAGAGTCTCCCACAAAAACCAACAGTGTGTTAGTCAACCTCTCAGTACTTTCTGACTTCTCTACTCCTGTCTGTGGCTCTTAGCTCCAAAGTCTTTGCTTCCTATTAAGGACATGAATCGTAATAATTTCACAACAAATAACTTGTTTTATGAAATGTTACTCAAACAGAAGTAAATGTTGTGTTTGTTGGGGACTATTTTCAGCTCTTATATTTATTGTAGTGAAGGAACATGTCAGTGCGACTGTGTGGCTCATTGATGTGTTTTAATTGTTTTTGGATAACAATGTAAGAATGTGACAAGGAGGAATAAGCTACTATACATCCAGCTTTGGATACACAGACAATATTTGCGAGAGAGTTAAATAAATTGTTGGTTTTGATCTTTTCATGGTGTTTGTTGACAATAAGAAAAATATAGACTATTACCAGACTTGTCCTTTCAGGCAGTAATGACAGTCAGCAACTGATATTTAATATCGCTACAGGATACATAAAGCACTATTATTAATGTATATGAATGAAATGATGGTTTCAGCATTTTCAACACCTAAATACTTTAACAATTGAACATTTGTTTTGCACTGAAAATGAATTGGAAAAGCTTTGTTTTCCTTTTTGGGCTGTTTTTGTGTGAGTAAAAGCATTCTGTACTGGTTTGTGTTTGCTGGTCCCTGCTGTTCAAATGGATTTAAGACTGAATGTCACTTAAGCTATATTTCAATAATGTTGCACAATCTGTGTGTTTTCATGCAGATTTGAGAAGTAAACTTTTGAACAAACTGAAGGCCTTGCCAAAAATGTGATGAGACTGGTTGATTGTACAATATGTATGTCTTCTGGGCGGAACTGATAAAGCTTTGGCTATGATTTAAAGTCCACTGTTTGTTAATTTCACATGGGTGCAAGCCAGGGTCATTATATTGATGCATCTTTTTCTATTTGCACTTAATTTTCTCTATTAATTGGTAAAATGATGGTATTTACATAATGAACTGGTAATACCTTTACAAAAGTGCTGAATTCTTTATATATATCTAAATATCTGGCTGTTGACAAAGCAGAATAAAGTTATACTATTTTTTGACGCTTTTATGAAATTAATCTGTGTTTAGCCAAAGTATAAATCCCCGTTATAGTTTATTAAATTGCACTTCTCAAGATAACACTGGTAGATGTCAGCTTTTGCTCCTATTCCTGAGACTTGTCTTTGATTTCCCAGTGCAGCACAGTCAGAAATGTCTCTTTGTCTCCAGCAAACAGACTGAGCCTCAGTGACATGACTCACCACAGAGGGAAGAGAAAAGGATCTTAGAGATATTGATGCAACACAATTTGTTCAGGCCTCAGGATCAGTGTGTAGTCGAGAGTGTGAGTAAGGTTAGTGAAACAAAAATATATATATGCTGTAGGAGTTTGAGCTTGCTGTTTGTTATTGCATTGCCCATGCCAGCCTCAATATCTACCCATATAGATCTCTCCCTGTTTGCAACGTTATAAAAATAAAGCGTTTAACACTTTCTCTTGACTTATTTTAAGTGTAGATCAAGAGTAGTGCTCAGATTATGCTGTGGATATATGCTTTTTGAGTACTTTTTTCGATTGCATATAGACTGTAATGATTTAATAATGTAAACTAATCTTGTATGTAGATTTTTGCATTCGTGTCCCACAGTATGAGGATGTGCTGAAACAACTAGTTGATGGATTGAAAATTAATCAGCTATTTTCATCGATCATTTAAGTTATTTTTAAAGCACAAATACCCCAAAAATGCAGAAAAATTATCAGCAGATTAATTAATCAGTACAAGCTACAAAACTTGAGATGCAGCCAAACTTTTCATCCATCCCACTCTACACTGCTGCAAAAAATGGTTCAAGCTGAAATGTTTCGTACTATAGAAGGTCTGTGGTGCTTTAAAGGACCCCTAAAACACAGATTATAAACCAGTGTGGTTTTAAAGAAGGGCCTCTTACTCATGCAGTTTTTAATAATTCAAATCTATTAAAAACTACTCCTCTACATGATCTTTGAAAGTAACCCTGATGATGTCATAGTGATGTCACCAGGGTTATCTTGGTTTTGGTTTGGAGACTAAATTTAAGCTCCGGGTGTGGAGTTTGAAGATGTGGCCATTTAGTTGCCATGCAGGGTCAAATGAATGACTGGCTCTTGAGTTGCATTATGGGAAATGTAGGCTCTTGTACCATTTCTTGGACCTTGGTCCTAAAGCTCAGGGTGTCTTGGCTTCCATTGCTTTAATTTGAACCATCTTTGTTTGAATGTGTCTCTTGAGAGTGCACAAACTTGTGGAAGTGTCATACTGCTGCGGTACCACTTTAAGTCAGACTTCTTCCACACAGTAAAGAACCAATTTACCTTGCAGACATAGAGGATTTGTGTTTTAGGTCAGCTCCTAATTGGTCAAAGCACGGCACCCCCGCATATTTTTAACGTTTTTAGCTCAGCCCATTTGCTTGGTGTCCGAAATGGTTTCTCCTTCACTTGCTGCCTTCCTCACTCCTCCTCACCCCCCTCACCCCTGTGTACAGTGCGCCAGATTGAGTTCAGCCCCTTCGACTGGAGGCTCGGGTTTATCTGGAACCAAAGAGAAAGCCATTCAGGAGCTGTGCGCCGTGAGGTGAAGGAAAGCTCCGTTGCGGACGCTGGGGGGGAGTCAGACAGGACCGGGAACCGGGGATTTGACCTTTTCCGTATAAACTCGGGTTTGTGAGGGCGAGCGGGGAGCCATGGCGGTGTTCTCTGCTCTTTGGGTGCTCTTACTGTGCCAGCTTTTGACATCATCCTCAGCCCAGGTAAGAGTTATGAAGTGCCGCATCCCTCCTTTCATTTAGCCTGATGTCTTTATGGTGATGTGTGTGGTTTCTCCTGGTTGCGTTTAATGTATAATCTTAACTTATTGCAATAATGTGACCTTCTGATCCACCTATTGATAATACAGTCTATCCCTTGTGTTGAGGATGGTGATGATGATGTTGACAGTCGCTTTAGGCCTGACCTGCACGCAACCTGATGCTGTCTCTTAATATTTTCTCTAAGCTGTACACTCAGATGCTCTTTATTCTTGTCGTACAATTATCATAGACTGAATGTGGGTGGTATTTTGTCTCTCTGGCTCTGAAGGCCTATTTTTACTCTCCAGCGTCAGCCTGATTGTGTGCAGGTGGCTGTGCTTTTTCGCACTACTTGATGAAGTTGGGGTTATGTTTTCCCTGAACCTGTGGAATGCGCGGATTGGAGATCAGTGCCACAGCGCACAATGCCACCTCTGTTCATTCAGGCTCCCTGGCTGAGGCGAACGGAGGAGCTCATTTGAAAAGTCCCCCAGTGAAATAAGTTTATTTTGTTTAGATGAACCGATGACTAAGGATTTAGTTGTGTTTTCATATAAATCTAGTTTAGCCTTCCTCTTGTGCGTAAGAGGAGATTTAAAGCGTTTTTACGCATCTTTACGGATTTAATGGAGTTCCAGTTGAATTGAATCTATTTCTAGTCTAATTAAGGTCTAGTTACATCTTTAGAATTAGTCATTTAATTTAGTTGATATTGTCATGTGTTCATTTTTTACAGGTTTTCTTATTAATTATCATACAGTTGAAGCCAAAATACACCAAACATTTGTGCTCACATTATATTCTGTTCAGTTCAAATCAAACCACATCCTTCACAGGTATGCAGGGCTTGTGGTGTTGAAGGAACATTGGATGTGAAATATTACACAGGAAGACTGACTGATGAATTTTATGTTGCAGAGGCCGGGCCCCAGAGGAGCTCCTGGGCCACCAGGATCCCCAGGGCAACCAGGAAAGGATGGCACTGATGTGAGTGACCACACTCCAACAGTCTCTTTACTTAAAACTAATGTCCCCTATTTTACATTTAACCAACTCCAATGAGTAAGATATGTGTTAGAAAATATGTTAGTGCCTCATACTTTGCGAGTAATTAACTGATTTATTTTCCCCATCTTTAAACAGATCGAGATCACCAAAAATTAGCATGATATTTTTAGATTTGTGACAAGTAGATGTTCATTGGACAACTCAGTGGCTTTACATCTTTGGTAGAAGGTGTTTTCTGTTTGTATAAATGTGGCTGAAATGTTTCTAGATGTTAGTTTTTATCACATTGACTCCTCCCAAAGACCCTCCTACTGTTACAAAATCATAATCATAGATGTCAGGTAGGCAGGGTTTAAGCTGTGTCTACTAAATAGACTTCTGTGGGTGAAAAAGCATTGAAAAACCTTCTGGTTAATTAGCTTCTCATATTAAACCCTTCAAAGCTTAGATTATATTCATACTGTGAATGGCTTGTACTTCTTCTTTAAGTCATACAGTATAATGTCAGCCTAATGCAACCATCCCTGTATTTATATACAGTGAATGTGGACAATACAAGATCAATCTGCTGAAATTTAAGCCACAAGATTAGTTACTGTTTAAATGGTTTTGCTGGTATGTGTAATATGATGTTATGGTAAAAAAAAAAATATATAGTAAAAGTGATGTGTTGAGACTTTATTATCATAAGTTTAAGATGAAATTAGATTATGTTGAAGCCAAGTATCAAGGAAAACACTGGTAGCATAGTGACAAAAAACCCTTTTAAATGTTTATTTTCTTCATATTTATGTCTTTGATTTTTGTCAGTGAAAAATGTTAATATATGTTGAATGTCTATGTCAGGAAATCTCAGAGTATTTTTCTTTTTGTGATTATTTTTGGGACTTCAGTAAAGTTTAGGCACACAGAGGGCCCATTCATACATTCCCCAACACTGTGAGAGCATCTAGAGTTTCACCTCACACCTCCTCCCTGTACCTTCAGCCCCCTCCTGTACAAACCAAAATGAAGCTTTTATCATGTGACCAGTCAGCGTCGGCACAGTTTAGTAGTATTAGTTCTTCCCCAGCCACGGCACAAGCTGAACATCATATCCTATATACTGAAGCAGTCCACAGACTCTGCTTCTTTTACTTTAATATTTCTGTTGTTGGTACACAAAATTATAGAATAATTTGAATTTAAAAATTCTGTCTCTACAATCAAACACTATAGTCACTGGAAGTATTTGGGCCTGTGTGGCAGTGTGCAAAATATGAATAAAATACATGTTTTTGTCTTATTACTTTTTCTTCCTTATTAACAGGGCAAAGCGGGACCTGCTGGACTGGCAGGGAAACCAGTAAGTATTCCAAAAAATCAAGTCAGTTTTATTCAGGGACTGTATGAAATTTACTGGGGTGGTGATTGAGTCTGAATGTTTCACTTCACTGTAAAAAAATAAAAAAATAAAAAAAAAGCTGTGTTATTAATGAAGGGTTTTCTTAACTAAGAAAAATAACTGCAACATATTAAAACAATATGATAGTGTTAAACTGGTACAACTTGTTTATTCCTAACGAGCCATGGAAGTGGTGTGAAAGCTGTCTCTTTGATTGTAACTATTAACTATATTTCAGAACCCAAAAGAAAATGAAAACTAAGGACAAGGAAAAAAATAAAAGACCCTTCTCTGCTCTTCCAAAAAAATTCAGACCCCACCTTCAGCCAAAAGTAAAATTACAATTACAATCTCTGTCTGCGTAGGGTCCCAAAGGGAAAGCAGGAATACCAGGCGGACCAGGAAAACCAGGCCTGCCAGGACTTCCAGGGGTTGATGTAAGTGTCGCATAAACACACACAGACAATTCTTATAAAAATATCAACACACCACCGTTGTCTTTGTCAGGAAATGTCACAAATCACTGCCTAAGTACAGTGTAGTTTCTGCTATGACACTGAAATGATTAATTGATGATTATTGTTGTTACATTTTAAAAATAACAGAGCACGAGGCAATGATGTACTTTCTCTTCAGGGTTTGACAGGTCCTGATGGTCCTGCTGGAAAGGATGGACCCCCTGGGGAACCAGTAAGTATGTCTCAGTCTTTTGATCTCTCTGGGATGCACCCAATTGAATTTTATGACCTTCTCTACCTCGGACTGCCCTCCCCATTAAACATCAGTTAAAGTCAGCCAGTAGTAAGACACACGAACACATATGCATACAAAAACACTGCATGTTGATTGGCTGCTGTTATATGAGGATCTTTACGAGGGTCTAACAGGGACAAGGCCTGTGTTTTCTCTGTCAGCCTGGATTTGTCAAGCCGGCTCAGCCTCTTAGTGGGAATATTTTTAATGAGGGATCAGAATTGGATTTATTTCTGCTGCTTCTCTAATCCAGCCCGGAATGCAAACTATTTCCCACCAATCTGTAAGACTGTAGGGCAAACAAGGTATTGTCCTACAAGAGAGATACAAGAGAATTACAGCGCATGTGGCATCAAACTACATCTGCACTGCTACATCTTATCATTAAACAGGCAGACTTTTATTTCGCACATTAGATATAAGATAAAGATTGACAGACTCCCACTTTAAGGCTGCAAATTCACTCTCAAAACAGATAATGGCAATTCAACTATTTAGCCAACCTAATGAGGAAGTTTGCGTCAACCACTGTCCCTAATTACTCCAATTACTACATTGTCATGGCTGGTTCATAGAGTCGTGATCAGACAAACAGGATTAAACTGGTGGAGAGACAGCGCATAAGCTGGAGTCGACAGCTCCATCAAACCAGATATGATCAGTTAACAGTAATGATGACTGTTCATTTTCATTTTTAGTGTATTTATAGGTCATTTTTCTGCTGCCTCACATCTGTTTGTTTGTGAGTTGTGTGCCAGTATACCCGGTTGTCTAGTTTGCAGACTGAGGAATTCAGTGAGTAGGTAACATCACTGTGTTAGGGCCCTTTTTATTTGGAGTCTTTTGCCCTCTCAGGCAACACAAATACAGCTGTGAGGGAGGTAAACAAAGTGAGAGCGGGAGGAAGAGAAATAATCATGCAAGGTTAAGTAAGGAAAGAAGAAAGAGCACCACAGGAAACCACAATTTGATCATTTATTACCGGAACAAGTTTGTTAAAGTCATTTTCTGGCAGAAGTAATGGATGAAACATGTAAACGATCTGAAGTTGGTGGAGAAAACAGGAAGACCTAAATGTATTTCAGACCAAAAATACATGTTATTTTGTCCCCACAGCTAACAATATAAAAGTATATTGATTATTTTAGCATTGTACAGGTAACCAAACAACATATGCAATTAGAGATTTTGAGAAATAAATGGTTGTTTTAATTTATCACGATAATTGTCATTATTATTGCCAACATTTTCTCCTCACAGTTACTGTATTAGTTGCAAAGTATTTGTAATCTTCCACTTCCTCATGACCTTCAGCAGACAAAAAGACATGTCCAAATTCCTACATTCTCTTTTCTTTTTAGTATTATTTTTATGATTTTTATTAATCATCGACAGTAGAGACTGAGAGGAAACCCTGACAACACCTGTGTTTTAGCTTTTCTGAAAGGAAATAAAGAACAGAGGAATTTAAAATAAAGAACAAAGAGATTTCCAACACAGGTTGCCTTACAATGAAGAGTTTTAGCCTGTTTTAAGGTATTTATAGAATATAAAGTCATACTAGCAATAATTCTCATTGTCTCAGTAACTCTTTATTTGGATAGTCCACCTACTGATAGTATTTTTCATTTCAACTGTTTTGCTTTGTCTGTAGATGACGATGTATGTAGATCTATATGTCTTTTTAGTTAATTGAAGGGCGGTTACTATAAGGTTTGATGGTAACACTTTATTTATGATAGTCTGCCTCAGATGTTTCACAACTAACCAGTTTGTTTCTACAAATAAAACAGTTTCTGAGGGTTTGGTTAGGTTAAGGCAGCGAAGAACATTTGAGTATGTTCATTTGAATTGTT